GATGATGGTGCCAACTTGGGCCAGTGAAGCGACATCCTCCACAACTAGATTGAAGAACAAAACGACAGCAACTTGTCTGTTCCCCTTACCCCAATTCCCCAGCACTGTTCCTATCCCCCTAATTCCCCAATAAAAAATAAATAAATAAATAAATAAAAATCTCAAAACATATATGTAATATGAGCCCTAAAATGATCCGGTAATTCCACTTAAGAAATTACTCTTGTGGAAATAAACTAAAATTTAAGCAAAATGTTTACAAGAATGTCATTTATAATTGCAAAACAATTCTTTGTAAGCAAAACAATGGCCAAATATTATAAATAACAGCACACTCCTACTACGAAAGTGGAAGCTCCCGGACTGCAGGAAGTATGACCCTTCTCTCTCTCCATTTCATCTCCAGCACCTTCCTGTGCTTGGCACATAGAAAATACTCAAGAATATTTGTTGACTAAATTACTATGATGCAATGTTATGTATAAGAATATTTATTATAGAAAGGGTTTTAATAACATAGGAAATTATTTGATATAATAAGTGAAAAAAGCAAGATAAAACTTGTGTATATAGTTTGATTTCAACTATGTAAAACAAGGATTCTTGTTATGTGAGATAATGAAATCCCTTATTGTTTAAGCTGATCTGAGTTGTGGTTTTTTATTACAACTCAAAAGCATCCCAACCGATCTTTGCATCCACACAAGAACTTTATTCGGGAAAAGTTCCTCATGCTTCCCCAGAGTTTACTGAAGAGAAAAGCTGAAATTATCAAAAGTAATGGGACCATTAATAAGTTAACCTGACAGCAAGGGAGAAAACAGGAAAATTATTTAAACAAAACACAAAAAACAACTGTAGTACCAAAAAAAACACAGCTGGCTGGAGCTTGCAGTGTAGGACCAGAGAGTGTTACAGACTTTATAACTTTTTAAGCTATTCTTATACTAATGGATATTTGTGATCCTGAGTCACAAATAATAATGTCCAGTTTGTGCAATATATTCTGTTTGGGAAAATGGTGCATTATATAACACAATTTGGGCGTATTTTCATTAAAATGTTCAAAACATTTGAAAGTTCCAGGACTTATGGGAGTAAACTGAAATTAGATCCTTCTAGAAAACTGAAATTAGATCCTTCTAGAAAACCAACTGAGCTGGAACTCTTCATTTACCCAATATTGTCAAAAAGAAACAAAAAGTTATTTAATAATCTAAAATTCTTACATTGAGTTTGGAAATTGGGTTTTCCTAAGACCTGAAGTGCCTAATGATCCCTTGGGATGGGGTGGGGAGTTTGTTAAACGTACAGTTTCCTCAGTTCTCCCTAAAAATTCGAATTCAGTGAGTCTGGGGTGGGGCTTACGTACTGGCGTTTTTAACAGAGACCCCATATGATTTGCTCTGGACATTCTGAAACAGTGGAATGAAGATTTAATTTAGAAATTGCTAGTGACTTCTCTGCTTTACAAAGCCTCCAGCTCAGATCGTGTTAATGCTTACCATTCTGCGTGAGAAGAGGTAGACAGCCTCACTTCTTTGATTAAAGGAAAGGACTAACTTACCTAAAATAACTGGCTGCATTTTCAATGCAATTGCAAATAATGCTGGTACTGACTTTAGTTAAGATTGTATGATTCTGTTTTTAACTTGAAAGAACTCCTGTTCTGGTGTTACTAACGTTTACTGTTTAGGTTAACATAGACCTTACCCCAGATTTCATGTTTAATGTTGATAAAAATGTAATGTGGTAGATGGTATGAGTGGTCTCTGGTGTCAGTACAAGATTTCATCACAGTCTTTTTATCAGAGGGTTTGGACACCGTATCACCTTTCTCTGACTCCTTGAGATGTTTCATCCCAACATCTGATACCTGGATGGAGGGTGGGCTGTTTTTAAGACACCAGAAAAAAGCATGTAATGAATATAGAGGAGTCCTAATTAAGTGTATGATAGAACTAAAAAGGTTTGGGGACACATGAATTTACTTGGACATGGCATTGAAATATATATTTTTTTTACTGAGTAGACTTTAATTAATAAGCGTGAAGCTTGAAAAACTGTCATGATACTACCTATATGATGAATATAGTCAAACTCTTAGAAGCAGAAAGTAGAATGGTGGTTGCCAGGGGCTGGGCAGAAAGTAGTGAACAGGGGTATTAGTCAAAGGGTGTAAAGTTTTAGTTATACAAGATGAAAAAGTCCTAGAGATCTCCTGTACAGCATAGTGCTTATGGTTAACAATACTATATTGCATACTTAAAAATTTGCTAAGAAGCTAGATCTTCTGTTAAGTGTCCTTATCAAATAATAAATAACACTAATAGTAGTAATAATAAATAAGAGGGCAGGAGAAAACTTTTGGAGGTAATGGATAAGTTTATGGCATAGATTGCAGTGATGGTTTTACAGGTATATACTTATCTCCAAAACAATCAAGTTGTATATATTAATTATATAAAGTTTTTTGTATGTCAAACATTTTTAAAAATAACAAGTATCGGGCCGGCCGAGTGGCGCGATGGTTAAGAACTCGCTTGGGATGCCAGAGGGCCCCAGTTCGGATCCCACATATGAGGGCCAGTGACACTGCCCTCCACAGCTAAGATGCTGAACGACAGCTCAACCT